GGTTTGCTGTATACACCCATATAGACAGGTAGCCTGTAGAAAGACAAAGAGAGATACAATTCAAGATAACAATACCACTTCCTGGTTATAAAGCCTGCATTACAAAAAATACGTCCCCTCTGAGGACAGATTTCTCCTTATAGCCTGTCTGTATCTGGTCCTAATGACTATGTCTCTAAAAACCTCTGCTATCCATGCTTTTGTATGAACCTCAAAGGGGTGAGAACTGCCTGTGAATACCTCTCCACTGATATGATTCACTTATATGGCAACTCTGACTCCTTAGACTTTATGAAACCGTGCAACTTTCTTGCTATAGGTCTTGATTTCCTTACCTCAGAGTTCTTACTGCAAAGACATTAGGCCTGGAGGGTTTGCACACTGGTGAAGCACAGCAAGAGACAAAGCTGAGCATCCTTTTCATAATCACACAATGAGGCAAACCACCTTGGCCCTATCAACAGATCAATAAATCGATAGATACTTCTGCATATGTGTGAAAGTATCATAAAGGGGTTCACTGGAAGAAACCAATAAAATAATTCCTCTATATAGAAAGCCCTTTTCTTTCCTTTCTTCCTCCTTTTCTACCAAAGAAAAAGTTAAATGTTAATTGCTTTGATCACAGTTGAAATCTCTTGAGAACTGAAATTGCAGAGACAATTTTCATGGGAAAGCCTACAAGAGAGAATTGAGTTCTATTGGAAATATAATGTGTTTGTTTGATAAGTGCCTCTTCAGTCATCTCACCAGGCAATGAAAAGATGACTCTGTAGCAGTGCTGGAGGTATGTATATCATTCTACTGAAAGCAGGTTAACTATAAAGAATCAAATTAACTAATTTTATAAAGAATAACTGTACTGTGGGCAACCAGGAGAATATTGGTGAGTGTGGTTCATGTTGTAACGTAACAGGAGGAATTATTTAACCAAACCCAGTTGCTCAGGTAAAAGCAACCAAAGAAGTCAGAAGCTGGAAAAGTTTTTGTTTAAATGATTATGTTTGTTATGTCTCTCTTCTAAGTTTGTGTGAATGTGCATGTGAATTTTCAATAAGTGAAACCAGTATTTATTGTCCTCCAAGTTACAGAGAGGCAGAGTTACTGCTGAGCCAGCTGTCTAAATTCTTTGTACCTCTCTGGCTTGAAGAGCATAATCCAGAACCAGGAACAAGTAAGTGGAAGCTATTACCATATGTGGTGGTCATGTAGAGTAGTGAAGCAGTATTGGAAAAGAGTACATGCTGTGCTGCAACAAATATTGCTTTATAAGGTTCCACTAACCCCAGAACTGTTTTTATTGAGTATGATACCTGATAACATAGATAAGGCAAAGAAGTATATAGTTATATACATAGTCACTGCAGCTAGAATTCTTTATGCTAAAAACTGGAAAAGTCTGATGGTACCGAAACAAGAAGATCTTATAGAGAAGATATGGGAAACAGCGGAAATGGACATTTTATCAGAAATGATGAAGGACTGTCCTCTACAAGAGGCAACTGAAAGATGGGACTTAGTCTACAAATGGTTTGAGTCATTAGACAACATTTGAAGAACATGCATTAGAATGAGAACTTAAATCTGGAAGGCAGAAAATAGTTAAAGAGCAACTTGGAATTTTGATATGGCAATGTGTATAGAATGGATATTAGTATGTTATTGTTTCTCCTCTTCCCCTTAACCTCAATCCCTTTTTCCTTCCTGTTACCCTTTGTTAAAAATAAAATATTAAAACAATTTTTTTCAATAAGTGAAACCAGTATTTATTGTCCTCCAAGTTACAGAGAGGCAGAGTTACTGCTGAGCCAGTTGTCTAAATTCTTTGTACCTCTCTGGCTTGAAGAGCATAATCCAGAACCAGGAACAAGTTTTATACATTTATATCAAGATTTCTACCTGTTTGCTTCTATCTGGTTGCTGAAAAGGGTGCATAAATCATATGACTTAACAGTTACCCATGAGCCAGCATTAATCATTTTTAAAAAGGGCTATGTGTATCTGAATAATCTTCATAGGTTTTCTCAGTTAATTTGCTGGGAGATAGCTTTTTGTTTTCATTATCTTTACCCTTTCTTTCCTGCCAAACAGCTAGTTAGAACTCTAGCTTCACTTCCTAGGCTACCTGTCTAGGTCTAGGTGCTAAGAATACACTGCTTTCATCACCAGCCATGTGTTCTAGAGACACGACTAAATGCATCCATACAACTGTTTTAGCTACCTACTCATGTGGCACATATTTCATAGAAAGTAATGGGACCTATCACCCAGTAGACATGTATATGATCACATTGTTACTGTACCTAAGAAATGGAAATCAGATAAAAGGCATTCCTCTAGCCCTCTCCAATTATGGCCAAGTGAAGGATAATTTCCATAGTTTGTGGGGGGTTTTAATTGCAGCCTCCTCCCTTTACAGTTCTGTTGCTCAACCATGTGTGAAGAGAGACAAGTCTGAATAGTAGAATATCTACTCTCCCTGAGCATGTTCCAAATGAGTTGACACTTAATTGTCCTAACTCATGTTAAGAGAGTCCTTTCTCTTCAGAGGCTTTCTTCTTCAGATATTGCTTTCCACATTTTAGAAAACCTCCTCGAGATGTTAGATAAACCCCCAAGAACAGATCAGGTTGCTTCTCCTGCTCTTACCATCGGAGAAGAGAAACGAGAGTGCAAAGTTCCAATCTTACAATAAGCTGAGAATAGGCAAAATGTGACAGTTTTCTTCCATTCCCCACTATTCCCTGTGGTGGATACAGCTGTTTGGAGTTGTAGTACAAGAATATATGGAAGACCACAGTCTGCCTGTGAGAAACAAACTGCTTAACTGAATGTGATATGGCAGTAAGCATGCAGATTTATTAAGTCAACTAGTCATTTAATTACACCAATTGTACATGATATAAAGAATATCTTAAATACTGATACAAACAATAGGTATTGTTGCTTCTCACTCAGTATTTTTAAATAAATAGGAGGGAAAATAATTCCAGATATAGGAACTTTTATCTACTGGCCAGAACCATCTTGGACAACTATGCATGTACATCTCTAAGTAGTCATTGTGATAGTCATGCAAGCATCAAGGTGGAAGTGTAATTGCAAAAGCCCTTCTACTTACTTAATAGAATATCAATATTAGTAGTGTGACAATGTTGTATTTACATTTACATTGTAATCTCTATCTCTTTGCATTCATAGGGCTCATACAGATATTCATTACCTCCCCATGAAAAATCAAACCACAATCACAGAATTTATTCTTTTGGGACTCTCAGAAAATCGGACCATGATCACAGAATTTATGCTTTTGGGACTTTCAAGTGATCCACAAGCACAGGTTCTTCTCTTCTTTGTGTTCTTAATAATATATGCCACAACGTTCATTGGAAACTTTGTCATCATTTCTGTAGTCAAGAATGAACCAAGCCTACAAGCACCCATGTTCTTCTTTCTCAGTCATCTGGCCCTTGTTGACATCTGCTACTCCTCCGTCACTGTCCCAAAGATGCTGGAAACACTTGTAAGTAAGAAGAAATCCATTTCCCTGGTGGGTTGCATTACACAGATTTTTTTCTTTATACATTTCGCTTGTACTGATATTTTTCTGCTCTCAGCCATGGCCTATGACAGATATGTCGCTATCTGTGACCCACTCCATTATTCAATAGTCATGACCAAACCAGTGTGCTGGAAACTGGTGGGTGGAGCCTGGGTTACTGGCTTCGTTGATGCAACGCTCAATGCAATGCCTTTCGTAGGTTTGAACTTCTGTGGGAATGATCTAATTAGTCACTACACCTGTGAAATATCTGCAGTTCTGAGTTTATCTTGCAAGGAAACTTCCATCAATTATAGGCTGGCATTTGCTACTTGTTTTCTCTTTGGTTTCAGTTCCTTCCTCCTCATCCTGATCTCTTACATTTATATTATTCCAACCATAATCAAGATTCAGTCCACAAAAGGCAGGAATAAAGCCTTCTCCACCTGCACTTCCCATCTCATCGTGGTCTGCATGTTTTATCTTTCGGCTTTTTCCAGATACTTGCAGCCACATTCTGAGTCCTTCACAGACCTTGACAAAGTAATCTCTATCCAATACTTAATTTTAACTCCTATGTTCAATCCAATCATATACAGTCTGAAAAACAAAGAATTGAAAAATCTTCTATGGAAAATGTTTGGGAAACATGAGTAAAATTGGAAAGCTTCTTAGTATTTGGAAATGTTTGCAGTCATACTTTGGGTGCTTTAAACAGTGGGCAGTTTACCGAAAGTGTACAACGCAAATAGAGCTTATGAGAAAAACAGTCCTATTAATGTCCACTAATCTGTTCTCAACACAAACAGGACTAGATCCAATCCACTTTTATGAGATTTGAAAATGCCTCCTGTTCTGAAATTGTGTATGTTTGTTTATGTGTGTGTTTGTACATCTGTTTGAAATTGGAAGGCCACTTCTTTACAATTCTGGGCCAGTTGGAGTTCTTTTCAGCAAACTACCGTACAGAAGCGAGACTTGCTAGGTAAAAATCTTTGTGTCCATTTTGACCGTAACTTTGTGAAACTGTCCTTCGGGAAGATTGCAAAGCTGGCCCACCATATCAATTCTGAATATGAGGAAAATATGCCTCTATCTAGGACCTATTAGCCTCTCTTGAGTGAGATACACAGCTGGACTATATAAATAAACATATCTCTCCACATAAGCTTTACTCTCTAGGGAGCCAAGGTCTCCACAACAGGCCTTTATCTCTGTCGCCCAAGTCTCACAACTACGTTTGGTGAAGACAAGAGAGCCTTATCAGTGGCTATTCCCAGATAATGTAAATCCCTTCCAAGAGAGGCTAGCCTGGATCCCACCCCTACTGTCCTTTTGCTGGAAGATGTAACCTTTTCAGACAAATCATCTACTGCTTAAGACCTTTCAAAGGCAGCTGCCTCTCTTTTGTTATTTCATTTTTGTTTATACATGCTTGAAATCAATTTTCTATGGCTTTAGGCTTTATAAATCGTGTATTTGTTTTTGCCCGATAACTTACTTAGTGATGTTTTACTAATGAAATTTATTGTGGTGTTTTCGCCTGGTTGTTTTTAAATATAGATATGTCAAGCTGCCTTGAGCCTTGCAAGTGGGTAAGGCAGAACAGATTTTAATGTCTAATTAATTATTTCTCTGACAAACATTTGCATTACATTAATATATTTATACACACCTGTATGAAGTATGGAAAAAATGTTTTGGCATGTCCATTGATAAAATTCTTTTTTTCCTCCCTCAAGGTCTGCCAAACAATGTGTGTTAACCTTGCAGTCTTCTCAGGTTTTCTTCTGAGAAGAGCTTATATAGAGAAATTGCAATCATGTTATTATCTTGCTTTAGAACTACACTGTTTTCCCCTTTCTGAACAAAAGACATTGGGAAAATACATGATCAACCTATCACATAAGGAAAGCTGTAGACTAATGAGGAAGAAATGCGTGTGAAAGATACAATCACCTATAGATAGTGAACACAACAAAAGTATGTCTGAGAAACTCTAAAAATAAGCCTAAATCACCTATGAAAAGCAACAAAAGTATGTCTGAGAAACTCTTAAAAATAAGCCTAAATCACCTATGAAAAGCACTTGCCTGGGACTTGGTGAAGTGAAGTTGCAAGTTCATTTCCCCCAAAATCTTCCAGCTATGATGTATATTATCTTTTCAATCAGCTCAGATTGCAAACACAGCCAGAGCTTATATAGAGACATGACCTTGCTTTGGAAATATATTCTGCTCACCTCTTGCACACAAAAATTATTGGGAGACTAGAGGGATAAATTTGTGGTATAAAAAGAGGAGATGTGAACTGACAACAAAGATGTGAAAGTAAATGGTATAATAACCTATCAACATATGACATGCACAGTCCAGATTCTAGAGTATGTGAATGGGCATACAGGAGCCTATCTCTCTAGAGAGCCAAGATCTTCAGAAGAGTCCTTCATTTCTGTCCTCCTGCTCACGGCCATGTTTGTTGAGGACAGGAGAGATGGCCTTCTCTGTGAGTGTTTGTAGGTAGTGGAATCCCCTTCCAAGGGAGGCTAGCCTGGAATGCCCCACCATCTTTCCACTAGTGGACACAACCCATTTAATCAAATAAGCCTTTGCATACTGCTGTAATGTTATGTAACTGTTTTGCTTTTGTTGCTGGGTTGTGTTTCTTACATGGTTTAAACTGATTTTGAATGGCTTTAAGTTTTCTTCAGTGTGCATTTGTTTTAGCCTGATGACCTATTCAATGCTGTTTTATTTTTTGTCATTTATCGTGTTTTAGCTCTATTGTTTTTAAGCAGCCACAAGCAAGCAAGCAAACAAATAAATAGGCAAATAGTTTCCCTGACACACATTTTTGTGTAAGATTAATATCTTTATACACAGTAGTATCAAGTATGTGAAAAATGTTTTGGCCATGTCCATAGATAAAATGCAATCCCCCCCCCCAAAGGGCTGCCAAACCTGATGTGTGTCAACTATACATGGGAGCTTTATATTCATATCTTGGGGAATACAAATACAAAGTTCAGCACCACAGATCTAGGCTCCTTGCAGTGCCCTTGTCTGTTGGCAGCAAGATTGCACCAATCATGCATGTGGTGCTGCCAGTGCTTCCCCACCTCCCTGCACATCCAGCCACTCTGGTGAGGAGGCAAGAAGATGAGTCTCCATGCTAAGCTGCAGAGCAGTTGGCTGGGAGGGGAAGGTGGGGAGCACCAACAGAAATACGTGCGCGATTAGCACAATGTTACTGCCAACAGACACACTTGCTGTGAGGAGCCCGGTGAATGGGCTAGGCTGGATGAAGCTCCCATATCTAGTGTCAACCTTGCAGACAGCTCAAACCTACCATTCTAAACACAAGAGGGTTTAGAGATCCAAATCACTTTTTATGGGGTTTGAATATGGTCACTGTTCTGAAATTGTTTCTTCATTTGTGTGTGTGTGTGTGTTTGTACATCTGATTTAAACAGTACGGGCAAATCTTTACAATTTTAGGGTAGATGTGTGTGTTTTTTAGCAAACTACACTGAGAATGTGAGACTTACTAGGAAGATACCTTTGTATCTGTTCAGACAGTATCTTTCTTTGAATGAATTTAATCCAAGGAGTAAAGCATTGAGACACAGATGTCACCACCTCCTTCTGGATGCTCTGCACACTCTTGCTAGTTCTGCTAGCTATTGATTCTGATTTATAAAATTATCCTTTGGGAAGAGTGCAAAGCTGGTCCACCCTGTCACCACCCTTTCTGATTCTCAGGAAAGTAAACCTCTGTCTTGGCCTTTCTATCCTCTCCTCAATGGAATATATGCCTGGATGATATGAATGAGCGTATCTCTCTGTGTGAGCCATTTCTCTACAGAGCCAAGATCTACAGAAGAAGTTTTCATCTCTGTTCTACTATGAGAACCATCTCCTATCACCTTGACCCAATGTTAATTGTGAAAGAGGACCTGGCACTGCTTCAAATATTGTTGCTCAATGTTACATTGATATGGTCTCATTGGCTAGAGATCAGTGAATTGTTTGTGTGGGGCAGTGAACCCTGGGAGAGGAAACTAGGCATGGCAGAAGGTGTCCCAAATGGCAGGTTGCATTATCAAGAAGTGTGGTGGCTTGTGGATTCATTGTCCATATATTTGTGGATCTGCAGGGATGATAGTGGTGCCACTTTCAGACTCTAGTCTCTCTTGAGGTTGGGATATTAGACCAGGCCTCTTAGAGTGGTTGCAGCAGGAATAGTTTGGTGGAAGACAAGTGGGGTAACATATACATAGCAGCTATTTGATTCATAGGAGCAGATCATTGGTGAGGGAAATGAATGGTTGGCACTATCCCAAATATGGGAACTGGGTGAACAACTGGTATGGGCATGCCCAGCTCACAGTTCCCCACAGTTCTAGACAAAGGTCACTTCCCATTTCAGTGGATTTGTTCATGAGGGGATTCATACCCATTTTGGTTACTAATTTCTATGGGTACCCAGCAATTGGATGGCAGATGCGTCATCCAAGGCATGGATCTGCTCTCAATGCTGGGCCAATAAAATTTTGCTGCAGCCAGTCCAGACAGTGGCCCTTTTATATCGAATATCAATTTCCCCCTTCATACTATTTTGAAGGTTAATAATGTATATATTTTATTCTAGGGATGGGAAGGTACCTAGGTATATCTCACTAGGGTCCACAAATGAATCCTATTCAATGTCTAGATATGGAAGAAAAAGATGCCAATAAGGTATTTGTCGCGCACCCCCAGTGTCCCCTGTTTGTTTTCCCACTCACACAGGTTCACCTTCGGACATGACTTTTTCTTTTCACCCTTTTTCGCTGCCACCAGAGGATATTACCCTCACTGTACCAATTATGAATCTCAGACTATTCCTGCCAAATATAACAAGGCTTATTTATGGTTTGGTAGGTAAATCACAGTAGTAAAATCATGGATGTTATTTTATTATTCATTCAATAAATGTGGATTTGATTACATGTAAGCTTGCTTGTATTCATTCACTTTAATCAAGGTCTCCATATATTCTAACAGTCTATGTGTACGTATTTTCCTTTTTACTCTTTTATATTCTCTAACACACCAACTTCCCAATCTCTTGTCTAAACACTTCCCAATCCTAACTCACTCTCTGTCTCTCCCAGTTCTGTTGACTCCGCCCCTCCTGTCCTGTCATAGGCTCCTGCGCTAGAGCTCTAAAATGACTGACAGGAGTGACGTGTGGGCTGTCCACCACAGTTGCATACCCACCCCATTATTATAGGCAGTATGCCTCCTCAGTATGCATGGAGATACAAGTGGGAGTATCATGCAGTCCACATGTTCTCTCTGGGGACCATCTGTAGGTGTCTAGTTAGTCACAGAAGAAAAAGGATCAAGGCTCTTTGTATGGAACCCGAATTTAATCAGCATTACTAATTAAGTTACTCCAAACGTACCATACACTGTGGATATGCCCCCTGCTTTCAGAAGCTCCTTGTTTTCAAAGCCTGGCCTTGTATGATTAGTTTTTGAAAGAAAGCTGCAGGGGGTTGTTGAAAGAAAGCAAAAATAAATAAATGAATAAATAAATCTTTCCTTTAAATAAAACAGGTACTTAAGCCATTTTCTTTTCTTTCTTCCTGAAAAGAGAATATCCATTGTTTTGATCACACTTGAAATCTCTTGAGAACTGAGATGGTTGAGACAATTTTCATGAGAGGGATCACAAGAGAGAATTGATTTCTACTGTGAATATAATTTGTTTGTTTGAGAAGCATTTCTTTAGTCACCTCACCAGGTGATTAAAGAATGACTTTGCAATAGAGTGCAAGGCACATATACCATTCAACAGAAAGCTGGTCAGCTGTGAGGGCATTTCAGGCAACCTGAAGAATATTGGTGAGTGCAGCCCCTATTATGATGTTACAGGAAGGGGTATTTGAGTTAATTTTAAAACCCAGTTGCTCAGGGAAAAACAACCTAAGAACGTGGAAGCTCCAACATTTTGTTTAAATCGGTAAGCTGGTTCAATCATTCTTCTAAATGCATATTTATATGTGTATGTATATATGTGAATGTTGAGTAAAAGAAATGAAACCTATATTTATCGTCTTCCATGTTACAGAGGGGCAGAGTTATTGCCAAGCTAGTTGTCTGAATTTTTGTACCCCTACCTTGTACAGGATCATTCAGAACTAGGAACAGGTTTTATACATTTGGAGAAAGATTTCTACTTGCTAAGTTCTACCTTGTTGCTGAACAGGGTACATAGGTCATATGACTCGACACCAGTTACTTATGAGCCAGTATAACCCAAGTAAAAAGAGCTTTTTTCATCTTAATGCAGCTCCTGTTTTTTATCAGTTACTTGGGTGGGAGAAACTCTCTTTCCTTTATCACTACTCTTTCTTCTAAATAAATTCTACAAAAGAAGATTCATTTTTAGAACTTTTAAATCAAAATTTCAACAGGATTTCCAGGGGAAAGAATTGGATCAATGCAAGAAAGTCTTCAGAGACTACAAATAAATTCATTGCCAGTTGTGCGTAAAACACAAGTCTATAAGTCTCCCATAGGATATATGATATAAGGCAGAAGCCCTGTGAAGGCATTCAGATATTACCCCCGTGAAATCTGAAAAATATACTTCCCAATTTTCATCATTTATTTGAGTGGTAGATATGGTCTCTTTTCATTACCCTTATACTTTCTTCCTACAACTAGATTAGAACTCTAGCTTTTCTTCCTAGGGTACCTGTGTCCATGTCTAGATGCTTCCCATGCATTCATTTTATCACTCACTATGTGTCCTAGAGACATGACTAAATTCACCCACACTTTGGCTACATATTCGCATGGCACCCACTTTACAGAATATGATCAAGTGTATTGCAGGTAAACATGTACAGTATAAGATTGCATTTTTAGGAAAACTAAGAAAATAAAACAAAACATAAAACATCCCTCTCACTCTAAGGAATCACTACCAGGTGAAGTATACTTACCACAGGCCATGGGATTTCTACCTGCTGTCCCTCCTTTCCAGTTATGTACTCTCCCATGTGTAGAGAGAAACTAGTCAGAAGATCAGAATATCCACTATCCCTGAGCATTTTCCATGTGAATTACAGAAACGTTACTTGTCCCGTTGCACAACCTGTTCCACCAGAGAGTCATGATGGATTGTGCAACTGCATTGAACAATTCCTTGTTAGCAGTCATAAAGCTGGGGACATTTATGCTCGTGTAACTTTATGTTACATAGATTTGAACAGGGCTTTTACCTAATATCACTATTTATTTAATATTAATAATATGACAATCTTACATTTATATTTATGCCTATTTCATTTTCCACTCATAGAGATCTTAGAGACGTTCATTGTCTCCCCATGGAAAATCAGACCATTGGCATGGAATTTATTCTTTTGGTACTTTCAAGTGATCCACAAGTACAGGTTCTTCTCTTCTCGGTATTCTTAATAATATATGCCACAACACTCATTGGAAACTCTGTCATCATTTTTGTTGTCAAGACTGAACTGAGCCTTCACACTCCCATGTTCTTCTTTCTCGGCCATCTTGCCCTTGTTGACATTTGCTATTCTTCTGTCACTGTCCCAAAGATGCTGGAAACTCTCGTAGCCAAGAAGAAATCAATTTCTCTGGTGGGATGCATGGCACAGATTTTCTTCTTTAATCATTTTGGTTGTGCTGATGTTTTTCTGCTTTCAGCAATGGCATATGACAGATATGTTGCGATATGTGACCCACTCCATTATTCAATAGTAATGAAAAAGACCACGTGCTGGCAAATGGTGGGTGGAGCCTGGGTCTTTGGCTTCTTTGATGCAACAATCAATGGATTGCCTTTAATAGGTTTGAACTTCTGTGGACAGCATCTAATCAACCACTACACCTGTGATCTTCCTGCTGTTCTGAGCTTATCTTGTAGTGATACTTCCATCAATTACAAGGTTTTACTTCTCTGTTGTTTTCTCTTTGGTTTCACCTCCTTCTTCCTCATCCTGGTTTCTTACGTCTATATTATTTCAACAATTCTAAAGATCCAGTCAACAAAAGGCAGGAGCAAAGCCTTCTCTACCTGTAGTTCTCACCTCATTGTGGTCTGCATCTTTTATCTTTCTGCCTTTTCCAGATATTTGCAGCCACATTCTGAGTCCTTCACAGATCTCGATAAAGTGAGCTCTATCCAGTACTTAATTTTAAATCCTCTGCTAAACCCAATCATATACAGTTTAAAAAACAATGAATTGAATACTATTCTTTGGAAAACATTTAGAAAGCAGGGGTAAAATTTCAAAATTGCTTAGCTATATCCAGAGATAGCATGCAAGATAGGTAGGCAGATCATGAAGCCCATGGAAATCTTTGAGAACTCTAAGGGAAATGCATTATACGGTAAGTAACCATATAATGTATATAGTAAAAGGTGGCCAGTTTACTGAAAGTGTATGAATGAAATTGAACTGATGAGAACTACCGTCCTGTTACTGTCTGTAAGTCTGTTTTCAATGCAAATTGTTCTAGATCAAATTTGCCTTTCATGGGCTTTGAAAATGTTCACTGTTCAGAAACTGTATATGTGCCTCTGTGCTTTACTTAAAATAGAGTAGAGCAGGGATTTTTTAATTAATTGATTTATTGATTGCATACATACATACATACATACATACATACATACATACATACATACATACATACATACATACATACATACATACATACATACATACATACATACATACATACATACATACATACATATCCCTCTTCTATTCCATTTCATTCTGTTCCATTCCAGCTTTTACCTAGCCCCATTTTTATTTGGTTCACCATTTTTTACAATTGGGTTTAATGTTTTGAACACTACTAGATTAGGAACGTGCTCCTGAGAACCATCAGAAATCTGGAGACTTTGAGAAGAGCCATGCATGCTTTGAGTACGTGCTTTAAAGGATACATGTGGCAAAGGAGTCTTCTATATGAGAACTGGTATCTCTTCAAGAGTCTCCTGAAGTACTGAGCCTTTGGTCTCCTCCACTTTGCTTGTTTCCATTTCAAATTCTTTCCATTGATATTTAGAAGAATACAAGGAATTTTTGACAGTTTTGGGAAGTTCTTAACAAATGAAGAGAATCAAATTGTCCTTTTTTCTTCGAAAAGCATATCAGTTCAAGCTACTTTAAAGAAGATCTGATGCTAACAGCTGAGAAAATACTTTAGCAAAAAATTATTGGAACAATCTGCATCACAATTTTTAAGACCAATGTATTAATTACTATAATGCAAAAAATATACAGTATGTACTACTACAACAAAGCTGAGTGAGAATTTCCCTGCCTTCACAAACAGATTTCTATGCCACTTCTATTGAACAATTATTTCTATTTTCTGCTCCCTGTCCCCAAAGTCTGGAATTTCACTGAAGCTAACATGCCTAAACTCTTGATAGATGCCTAAACATCAGTTTCTCAGTTGAAACAGCTCATATTTGCTGGAAATAAAAAAAATGAAGAAGTGTTGGCATTCTCCTTACTTCTTTATTCATTTATTTATTTAATTCTGTGAAAAGAGACAAAGCTTGACTTCTCAAATATCCTTTTTCTGTGTGTGTGTGTGTGTGTCTGTGTGTGTGTGTGTGTGTGTGTGTGTGTTTGTGTTTGTGTTTGTTTGTTTATATGTGCATGTGTATATGTATATGTATATATGTATATTTTATGGGTGATGTATGTGTGTGTGTATGTATATATATGTATATATATGTATATGTGTATATATGTATATATATATCTATATGTATGTATATGTATATATTTTTATCACCCATCTGGCAGCCAAGGCCACTCTGGATGGTTTACAATAACTAAAGAGAACCAATACAATAACATAATAAGACAACATTGATAAATTTAAAAGTGCAAATCAAAATACCATAGAATACAGTGGAAGACATAGTGAAATACAGTACAATACATTACATTACATCATTTTTAAATTTAAAATGATGTAAAAAAGTGGGATGGGATGGACAAACATCCAAACAATACTGAAGACCTCAGGCCCAATTAATACTGCTCTTTTATTAACCTTTTAATACCTAAACCCCCCACTGGAATTTTCACAGAATCAATTTTCTGCTCAGAATTGGGTACTGGAATGTGGATGCCAAGGATGTTTTGCAGTTGGTGCGTTGGCCTCCTTAGAAATCACCATTCTGGGCTTTCTCACAATATTGATTTTCTACCCAGAATGGGTAGTGGAATGTTGTTCTGGTGATCCTTTTGTGGCTGGTTTCATAAGTCCTTTCTCATTGAATGGGCCTGGTGAATTTGGGTAGCCTGTCCTACTTCGAAGTCTCTGTTCCAGGCTGTTCTTTGCTTTTTCTGGCTATTGTGTTCTGTTTAGCAGATTTTGGGGTAATAAAGGGTTAATGAAAGAGCAATTGGTTTGAGGTATAAAATATTGTTTGAATGTTTGTCCATCCCACCCCACTTTTTTGCATCAATTGTTGTTAAGAAGTCCCTATTCCATGCTGTTCCATTCTGGCTTTTGCCTAATCTCAATAAAAATAAAAACAAAAAATAACACACACATCAGTTATTTGAGAATATTTGGAGAATATCAATAAAGGTCTACATCTATGTCTATGCATACAAACATGGACACAACATATGTATCCAGGGATTACTAAGATCAAGCAGGATTTATTTTTAAAACAACTTTATCTAATATTGAGACACATTTTGTGGAAAGACCACAAAGAAATGGGCAACCAGAATACTTTGAATTATGTCAGTTACTGTATTTTTCGCTCTATAAGATGCACTTTCCTCCCCCCAAAAAGTGTGGGGGGGAAGTCTGTGCGTCTTATGAGAAAAGGTGCCGAATTCACCCCCACTGGCCCCGTGGGGGGAGCCTCCCAAGGATTCGAGTGAGCCTTCCAGGACCCTTGTGATGCTCCCCCATCTGGCCCAGTGGGGAGGCAGGGTGAGCCTCCCAAGGGTCCTAGGGTGTGTTCCAGGACCCTATAGAGACTCACCCTGCCTGCCCGGGGGTCAGAGGGGGCAAAATTGCCACCTTCTGGGAGTCTTCTGAAGCTTCCCAAGCCTCAAAAGAGTCCAGAAGGTGGCGATTTCTCCCGTGCTGGCCCCATGGGGGGGTGGGAGAGTGTTGCAAGGGTCCGAGTGAGCCTTCCAGGCCCCTTGTGATGCTCCCCCACCCCCCACGGGGCCAGCATGGGTGAAATCGCCACCTTCTGGAACTCTTTTGAGGCTTGGGAAGCTTCAGAAGAGTTCGTGAAGGTGGCGATTTTGCCCCCTCTGGCCTCGGGGGGGGGAGTCTGGGTGAGCCTCCAAAGGGCCCTAGGGTGTATTCCATAAGATGGACCTCTCCATAAAAATAAAGATTATTTTTTTCCTGTTTTCTTCTCCTAAAAATTTGGTGCGTCTTATGGAGAGGTGCGTCTTATGGAGCAAAAAATACAATAATTAACATAGCCATGGAGATTCATATGGGGTCTATGACAATACAATTTTTTTTTCATTTTCTTTAGAAGCCTCTACCCATAGAGTTTTGTATATATATATGCTTCATCAACACAGATGTCCTGTGGTTAATCACAGAACATAGGAAGGCTAATGATGTGGGTGATCATGGAACAAAAGAAGGTTAATTGCCTTAGAGAAAGTACAAAGGAGAGTCGACAACAGATGTCTGGTTACGATTAGGTAACTAGTATCGTATCTGAATTCAGACAACATACTATGTAACTCATGCTAAGTCAATAAAGGGAGCTCTCATGGTATTGCCTTTAGGCTCTGCTGGCTCAGACATCTGTTGTCGACTCTCAGCCACACACTTGGTGAGCAGCTGCTTGAGCAAGGAGGACACTAATATGATTTCTTTCCTGCTCCATAGTTAGGCAACAGGATAAAAACCTCAGTCTGAAATTTACTCATATTAATGGGGTTCACTTATTGGAAGAGACGGAGGAGTCATGCTGCCGTTGTCTCTCCCAATTTACACAGCTCCCCCTAACATGACACAGCTGGGAGCTGTATAGCATTGGGGGACATGTCAACAGCATGGCTTCTCTACTTCGTCCATTGTGTGAACCTCCTAAAAACTACAATATTATCAGCATCCAACATTAAGATGATGGCTTTTCTGTTACTTTAGCAGTCATGAAGCCCTGACAGTCATGAAGTCCCAGGAAAGGGCAGACTTGGCATGAATGTTGATTCTGAGAAGAAATATAAAGCACAAAATCGCACACAAATACACTCATGCATCCTTAAATACCTCAAATAAAATCTGACAAAATATACGTAGTCAGTGCAAATATTTTACATTGAGGGTTTATACACACATAAAGCTTAGACAATGAACCTGGAAAGAGGCAAAGAGATATACAGTCCAAGCTGACAACACTACTTCCTGGTAATGAAGCCTGTAAAGTTATAAGACACATGGTACCCTCTGGGTACAATTTCCTCTTTACATTGCACATGAGGTGGACACCGTAAATGTATTGTGTGAGTGGGGGTGGTTGCATATGCTCTTTTGTAACAAGGGCAAATATTAATGCATTATTGCTACAATCTACTTTCAAGCCTATTTCTCTACAACATGTGTATGAGTGATAGTGCATCTCATTTATTTTTGTCATGTAGTGCATAGCAATTTGTGGGGGATATACATAGAAAAACAGTGATACAATTTTATTTAATTACTAAATCCCCTTTATGAAACCTTCTCTAACTTGCAGGGATATGAGAGCATAAAGAGGTTGTTGAGTCTTATCTCTTGCCTTGCTCCACCAGTATGCACTCTCTCAGGGCACAATGTCTTTACATTGGGGTATCTGAGGTAAGGAAGCTGAATCTGGTGCTAATAGCTGTATTTCCCAAGGGCTCTAGCATTCATGCTTTTGTATGAACCTCAAAGGCAGGCAAGTCTACCTGTGCAAAGCTCTCCATGAATATAGCTCTGACTGTTTAGACTTTACATGGATCCTTCTTGCTATAGGTCTGTTTCCCTCTCTCAGAGAACCCAGTTAGAAGACTTTGGAACTGGAAAGAGCACACACTGGTGGAGCCAGGCAAGAGACAAGGATCAGCAACCTCTGCATGCTCACCCACCCCAGCACACTAGTGAATGCATCATCAAGGGGATGTTTATGTTGAAAAAAATAGGTACTCAAGCCCTTTTCTTTCTTCACCTGTTTGTGAGGAGAGAGAGAGAGAATGTTAATTGGTGTGATCATAACTATTAACTCAAATCTCTTGAGAAGTGAGGTAGTTTAGACAATTTTCAAGGGGGGGTTTGCAACAGTGAACTATTTCTATTGGAAATATAATTTGTTTGTTTGAGAAGTACTTCAGTTATTTCAGCAGGTGAATAAAGGATGACTGTGTAATAGAGCTTAAGGCAGGTATATCATTGTATGGAGAGCTGGTTTACTATGAGGAAGAGACAACTTATTTTATAGAGAATTTGTGTATTACAGACAAGTTGAAGAATATTGGTGAGTGTGGCTTCTATTATGATGTAACAAGAAAGGTTTCACCAAGCTAATTTTCAAACTCAGTAGCTCAGGTGAAAGCAACCAAAGAAGTGGAAGTGACATTTTGTTGAAGTAACTCTGTTCTTTAAGTCTCTCTCTCTCTCTCCCTCCCTCCCTCTCTCTCTCTCTGGGTGTGGGTATGAATGTACAAATGTGAATAAAACCTGCATTTATTGTTTTACAAATTACAGAGGGGCAGAGTTACTACTGAGCCAGCTTTCTGAATTTTTTGCACCCTTGGCTTGTAGAGTATCATCAGGAGCTGGTTTTATACATTTGCATCCAGACTTTTACCTGCTTTCTTATATCTGGTTACTGAGAAAACTGCGTAAATCATATGACTTATTGGTTGCCCATGAACCAGTCTTGTTCATGTGTAAAAAGGGTTTTGTACATCCAAATACTCTTCATCATTTTTATCTGTGATAAAAATTGAGATAGCTTTTTTTTTTGTTCTTCCCTGCCAAACATTTAGCTTAGAACTCAAGAATCTCTTCATAGGAAATGTCTCTTCAGGTCTAGGTGTTACCCACACACTCATTTTATCATCAGCCATGTGTCCTAGACTAGAGACAGGGCTAAATACATCCATACAGCTGCTTAGGGTGCATATCCATTTCGCACACACTTCACAGAAAATAATGGAGCATCACACAGTATGCATATATAAGATTACATTGTTAGGAACTCTACTAAGTAAAAATAAAAAAGAGAGAGGCACTCCTCGTGCTCTATTCATTCATTACCAAGTCAAGCATATATGCCACTGACTGAGGGAAGTTCTACTTGCTATCCATTTTTCCAGTTCTGTTGCTCTTTCCTGTGTGAAGAGAAACATGTCTGAAGAAGAGAACATCCACTATCCCTGACATTTTCTGAAAGAGTTGGGACTCAATTAACTGACACATGTGGAGAGCCTCCTCTCCTCTTCAGAGTTTCTTCTTTTCATATACTGCTTTCCACACATTAGAAAAGCAAAAAAGCAAAGTGTGCTGCATATATGGCGCCTTGCCCACCCAGCCTGGAATAATGAGATGAGACACAGTATATGGGTTAAACTAGGGCAACTTTATTAACTTAATAAAATGAACTTCCCCTTTCACTATGGGCCTTGTGCACATAGTGCAAAACAGGTCTGGAATCAGCGTCAATCCTGATTGACCAGTCCAGAATGCTCCTCAGCAAGTTCCTGCACTCAAAGTGCGCTGTTGTACGACACAGCAACCTCTCGGCCATCTACTCTAGAGTACTTGAAGGCTGCCCTCCACCCAAGACTCAAGACCCCAAGAGCACAGCATCTCCTGTGGTTCCTCCCATTTTTCCCTCCCCTCTGCTGAACCTCTTTTAATGCAATTCTGAGAGGAGGGGTGCAACCTATCCTGCTTTGCACTACCTGCAGTTGTGGCCTTATTAACAGTGGGCATCTAACTTTTGTAACAAACCCCAAACACCCTTGCAAGTAAGAATGGAATGGGTGAAAAATGGCTGCACCTCAAGGCCAATGCGGGTGCAGGTCAATAATTTCCATCTGGCCCCACAGCAGCCAACTACTCTCATTCTTACCACACTGGGTGGGCAGGGAAGAGGATGGTGTAGGCACAGGCAGCCTTCTTAAAGGCTTGCTTGTAGCTCTGCCTGCCTATCCTCTTGCATAGCTCCCTACGCTCATCTAATCCGGGAGGGCAAAGAAGCCCCACCTTGGCAGCTCCACATCATTGTGGAGAACATTTAAAGCTGATATATAGATTCTTAAAGCTCTCTCTCGGTAGTTTACAATTTTAATTGTTCAAGCCACATATTTTCCCCACCTCAGCTAGGTGTGTACTCAATTTCCCAGCCTTGGAATAATGGAAGACCGAGTCAAAGTTGAGCTGGCTACCTGAAGCCAGGATCAAATTCAGGCCATGAACAGCATCTTGACTGCAGTAATTCAAGATTAACCACTGCACCACAAGGCTCCTCAACGCTCATTTGTATGTTGGATAAACTCTCAAAAGTTTCCTCTTCTTTCCTGTTTCCTCTTCTATTGTCATCAGAGAGGAGAAACTAGAGTGCAAAGTTTAAATCTTACAATAACCTAGAAGAAGGCATAATACAAGTTTTCAAATGTTCTTGGATCACAGCTTCCAGGATTTCTCACTGTGCTTATTGTGGATACAGCCGTTTGGAGCAGTGGTAGAAAAATATCTGAAAGTCCACTTGTGAGGGTTCCGGTCTAGGCTCCAGTTTTTCTCCAAACAAATCACCGGGCTTTCGAGGTTTTGAAACAGGAATAACATTTATTGCCGTATTCAACAAGAAACCAGTATCTGCAAAAACGTTCCAACTTTTATCTCCTTCGAACAACTGGTCAGAAAGGGGTTTCCATGCTTCTTCTTTAAAGGGGTTCTCCCAAATGAGTTCCAAGGCCCGACCCAGTACACTGAAAGGTCATTGTTTAATATCTGTCTGGGTTCCCCTTCCAATAGGGGTACGGTATCCTCATCTCGGTGTCGACCCCAGTGGGTTCCCTGGAGATCAGGAAGGTCTGCCATGGTCCCGAGGATAACCCCTCATCTGGGTTTCCTACACCTTCATTCAATCCTCTCCCGATTTTCTCTTTCAACTCTTTCCTTTTCTTCCCTCAACTTCCTCCTCCCCTCCTTCACTTCAGTTTCACCCCAATAGGATGGTCTTGGGGTTACTTCCTTCCTTCTCCAATAAACTGCTTCCTCCTTCAGTATGTGGAGTCTCTCCCACTTCCCAGTCCATGGATCCTGCATCCTGATCCACTCCCAACCTGGCAGCAGCTCTCCTTCTCCCTCCTTTATATTGGCCAATCCCTCCTCTACTTCCACCCTTGGCTTCCATTCTTTTCCCGCCAAGTCTTTCCTGGTCTCCCAGACCATTAGTTCTTTCAAATCCTCCTCTACTCTCTCTGGGTTTGCTTTTGGTGGTCCTGTCATCCTGGGAGGGGAAGCAGGCAGGGTTTGAGTCTCTTTCTCGGCCATGGGCGGGAGGGTCGGCACTCCTGTGAGAGAAATCTTACTCTCACTTCTGGTCTTACATCACTGTCTGCCCATATCTAGCAGAAACAAACTGCTTACTCAGGTATGATATGGCAATATGCCTAAACATGCAGATTCATTCAAGATAACCCTGGTTAATCATGAAGTCAGAATATGTTCTATTTCTAAGCACATACTCTTACACAATGCATGTGTTACCTCACACTACCGAAACCTTTCAAAAAATGGTAATACTACCTCTGACTGATATCTCTGTTGAAGCAGAAGGGAAGCACAGTGGAACTGTGACAATATAGATTTTATACAGATGATTTTTTCAACTATTTTCAGAGAGTGGAAAATGGGAACTGCTACTGCAGGATGAAAAATTGCATCAGATTAAGTGTAGTTATAGAATTACAGCAAATGGGAAAACACATGGTAAATATCTGAAATACTGATATGCAAAATTGACATCACTCTTAGGATCTTGACAACTATTACCTAATATCACTCTTTTTTTTAGTATACACAGTGTGACAACATGCCATTTGCATTTATATTTTAACCTATCTCTCTTTCCTTTCATACAGAGCTTAGAGATTTTCATTACAATCCCATGGAAAATCAAACCATGATCACAGAATTCATGCTTTTGGGACTCTCAAGTGATCCACAAGTACAGATTCTTCTCTTCTTGGTACTCTTAATAATGTATGCCACAACATTCATTGGAAACTCTATGATCATTTTTGTAGTCAAGATTGAGGCGAGACTTCAGAACCCCATGTTCTTCTTTCTCAGCCATCTTGCCCTTGTTGACATTTGCTACTCCTCCGTCATTGTCCCAAAGATGTTGGAAACCCTTGTAGGCAAGAAGAAATCCATTTCCCTGGTGGGATGTATTACACAGATTTTCTTTTTTAATCATTTTGCTTGTGTTGATATTTTTCTGCTTTCAGCCATGGCCTACGACAGATATGTTGCGATATGTGACCCACTCCATTATTCTATAGTTATGACAAAGATGATGTGCTGGCAACTCGTGGGTGGAGCCTGGTTCATGGGCTTTGTGAACACAATGTTGAACGGCTTGCCCTTGATACGCTTAAACTTCTGTGGATACAGTCTACTTAACCACTACACCTGTGAATGTTCTGCAGTTCTGAGCTTGTCTTGTAGCGATACTTCCCTCAATTACAAGCTTTTACTTGCCTCTTGTTTTCTCTTTGGTTTCAGCTCCTTCTTCCTCACTCTAGTCTCTTATGTTTATATTATTTCCTCCATCCTCAAGATTCAGTCAAGAAAAGGCAGGAGCAAAGCCTTCTCTACCTGTAGCGCTCACCTTATTGTTGTCTGCATGTTTTATCTTTCAGCTTTTTCCAGATACTTGCGGCCACATTCTAAGTCCTTCACAGACCTCGAGAAAGTGAGCTCTGTGCAGTACTTAGTTGTAAGTCCTCTGCTAAACCCAATCATATATAGTCTGAAGAACAAAGAATTGAAAACTCTTCTGTGGAAAATGTTTCGAAAACATAAGTAAAATTGAAAAGCTGCTTAGCTACAGTGGTGCCCCGCATAACGAGTGATTTGTTCAACAATGAATCCACATAGCGATGTTTTATTATGATCACAAAAGCTATCGCATAACAATGTTTTAAATGGGGAAACATCGCTTTGCGATGATCGGTAAGCGTTTCGCTTACCGATTTTTGCATAACAATGTCTTTTTAAACAGCTGATCGGAGGTTCCAAAATGGCCACCGGGTTAAAAAAATGGCCACCTGCAGTGTTTTCGCGCCCTTTCCTCACTTAACGGGCAGCGAAAATGGCAGCCATATGGAGGATTTCCGCATAACGGTGAGTTTTTTTGCCCATAGGAACGCATTAAACCCATTTTAATGCGTTCGTATGGGCTTTTTTGCCCTGCATAGCGACCAATCTGTATAGTGATGATTTTTTTGGAATGGATAATCGTCGCTATGCAGGGCACCACTGTGTATCCATAGAGAACATACAAGATAGAAAGGAAGGCAATGATACACATGGAAACATTTGAGAACTGAAAGGAATATGTACTTTACTTTGGTGCACTATTTCAGGCAATAATATGGATATGGTGTGTTGGTAAATAGTGGGTGGAGCTTGGGTCATTGGCTTCTTTAATGGAATAATCAATGGATTGTCTTTAATGGGTTTAAACCTCTGTGGACAGTATCTAATGAGCCACTACACCTGTGAACTTCTCACAGTTCTGAGCTTGTCTTGCAGTAATACTTCCCACAATTATAAGTTGTTACTTGTCTGTTGTTTTCTCTTTGGTTTCACTTCATTCTTCCTCATCCTGGTTTTTTACATTTATAATAGTTCTAAAGATTCAGACAAGAAAAGGCAGGAGCAAATTCTTCTCAATCTGTAGCTGTCACATCATTGTGGTCTGCATCTTTTAGTTATCATTTGCAGTAATTTGCAGTTCACCTCCATTTTAAAGGTTTAGGCCCCCCCGCATCATTCAAGGTACGTGGTGCTGCTGTGGGCTAAACCACAGAAGCCTGTGCTGCAGGGTCAGAAGACCAGCAGTCGTAAGTTCGAATCCACGCGACGGAGTGAGCGCCCGTCGCTTGTCCCAGCTCCCACCAACCTAGCGGTTCAAAAGCATGCAAATGCAAGTAGATAAATAGGGACCACCTCGGTGGGGAGGTAACAGCGTTGCGTGTCTAAGTTGCACTGGCCATGTGACCACGGAAGATTGTCTTCGGACAAACGCTGGCTCTATGGCTTGGAAATGGGGATGAGCATCGCCCCCTAGAGTCAAACACGACTGGACAAAAATTGTCAAGGGGAACTTTACCTTTACCTTTACTATCATTCAAGGTAGATTGTCAACATTGACATTCTATGCTAAGGCCCAAGGGTGCCCGGATTTGGCCGGCAATTTCCAAATCAAAAAGATGATAGAGGGGTGGAGCAACAAAAGTGGCAAGTAATTAGAGATGTGTACCTCTATATCCCCTAGATTTCTAGCCCAGTTGAATCAAGTTTGAGAAGATGTTTCTATTGCTCAGTATGAGGTCAAGTTATTTTGGGCAGCTACCCTATGTGTCTTTTTTCAGGGCTTTCCGTATCAGTGAGCTGGTGAAGGCATCCAAAAGCGATGATTCTCGGACAGCGTTGCACATGGACGACCTTTTTGTCTCTGAAGACAGAGTGTTGTTTCATCTCTGCAGTTCCAAAACTGCTCAGTTTGGGAAAGGCCAGCTTATAAACCCAGCGCCTTGTTCTGTAACCAAACTCTGCCCAGTAAAAGCACTATCTGAATTTGTTCAATCAATAGGGGATGGCAAAGGAGACTTATTTTGCCACAAAGACGAGCTACCCCTTACACAATACCAGCTCTGGACTGTAACTTCCCGAGGGCTTAAAAAAGCAGGCATTGTAGGAAGGAAATTTGGAACGCATTCCTTCTGTATAGGTGCAGTTTCCATGGCAGTGGCTTTGGATTATGGTGAGGATCAAATAAAGAAATTGGGGAGGTGATCATCTTGTAGGTTTAAGAAATATGTTTGTTCCCTCCCTCAATAGAAGTGATGCTGTCTTTTACAGAACCCCAGGTTGCTTCTTCGTGGCTGTGAGTGGCCGTTTACAGTCAGTTATATCCACTGGACAGCAAAGTACCGTGAAGTTTGGATGGGGGCGTAATCTAGATCTGGGGGCTTCAGCTGCCCTCGAATGGAAGGGCAAAAGGAGCATGCAGTGGCACAAGCTCCTGGACCTTTCAATACCGAGTTTCCAGGTTGCAACCCCCGATATTTTTGTAGTTCATTTGGGCGGTAATGATCTGATGAAATGAATGGGCAAGTCTTTGGTTTTGCAGGTCATCCAGGACCTCCAGATATTGAAGGATACATTTCCTTCAATGAAGCTGATTTGGTCCACTATGATCCCACGGAGGGCTTGGCAAGCTGACTGCAAGCCGGGTAGTATAGACAGGGCACGGTGTGGTGTGAATCGAGACGTTTGCCATGCAATGAGAGCAGGTTTGGAGTCTAATTGTGAGTTGCTGGCCCAAATTATATCAGAGCGATGGTGTTCATCTATCGGAGTTGGGCATGGGCCTCTTTCTTAAGGATGTACAAGGGGGCCTTAGAGCCAAAATTCTCAGCTTGGGTGGCAGGTTTGGGGCATATAAATAGCCCCTAGCCATGGTGGGTAGTGCAAGGAAAAAAGTAGAGGTTAGTTCAGTTTGGCACGGGTTTGCTAAAAATTAGGACATCTCGCTGGCAGGTTGAGCCTATCAGCTACCAGGTGAGAGGTGTCTTATATGGAAGGACCTCCCTGCCAGCTGCCCATTTAGGGTCTCAAGGCTCCACGGGAAGAGCTCGTTGGGGGGGTACCATTTCATAGAGCTACTGATTCAGTAATAGGAGCTTGCCCTGCTCTAGGAAGCATCCAGAGATTTGCGATCATCTGGACATAAAAGGAACTCGCACTATGGTAGGCCCCCTTGTATTTTGGGGGATACAAGTTAAATAAGTTAATAAAGTTGTGGCCCAAGCCTTTAATCCAACAACCTGTGTCTCGCCTCATTATTTCTGTGCTGGGAGGGCAATGAGAATGTTTTGCATTGAGGGTTTATACACAAATACAGTATAGACCAGTGGTTCTTAACCTTTGTTACTCGGATGTTTTTGAACTGCAACTCCCAACCCCAGCCAGCACAGCTGGTGGTGAAGGCTTCTGGGAGTTGCAGTCCAAAAACACCTGAGTAACCCAAGGTTAAGAACCACTGGTATAGACAGTTAACCTGGAAAGAAACAAGGAGAGATCCAAGCTGACAACACCACTTCCTGGTAATGAAGCCTGTAATGTTATGAGACACATGGTCCCCTCTGAGGAGAAATTCCTCCTTTATATACCTGGGCCAGAGTCAAGTCTTAGAAGGCTCTTCATGCTCCCATACCCTTGCACATGAGTGAATGTATCCCAAAGCATGTTCTACTGAAGGAAAACAATAAAACTATTCATTTAAATACAAACCGACTTGAGTCTTTTTCTTTTCTTTCTTCCCCTTCATGGAACCAAGAAAAAGGAGAAGGTTAATGGTTTTGATACAGTTGAAATCTCTTGAGAACTGTGCTCTTCAGACAATTTTCATGGGAGGGCTTACAAGAGAAAATTGATTTCTATTAAGAATATAATTTGTTTGAGAAGTGCTTCTTCAGATGTTTCATCAGGCAATTAAAGGACGACTGTGTAATAGAGCTTAAGGCAAGTACATCATTCTGTGGAGAGCTGTTCAGTGCTGAGGAAAGGAATCAACTCATCTTGTAGGGAATATGTGTATTGCAGGCAACCCGAGAAATATTGGTGAGTGTGACTTATATTATGATGTATCAAAAAGAGTTATTTCACCAAGTTAATTTTCAAACCCAATTGCTCACTTGGAAGCAACCAAAGAAGGTGGACGTTCAAACATTTTGTTTGTGTATGTCCATGTAAATGTTGAGAAAATGAAATGTGCAATTATTTTCTTCCAAATTACAGATGGGCAGGGTTACAGCTGAACCAGCTGTCTCAAATTTTGCACCCCTGGCTTGTATAGTATCATCCAAAACAAAGAACACATTTTATATTTTTGCACCAAAATTTTGGGCTGTTTACTTCTATCTGGTTGCTGAACAGGGTGCATAAATCACATGACCAATTGCCCATGAGCCAGTGTTACTCATATGTAAAAAGGCCTTTGAGCATCTGAATATTCTTCCCAGTTTCTATCAGTGAATTGTGAGTCTTCTTCTTCTTCTTCTTCTTCTTCTTCTTCTTCTACTACTACTACTACTACTACTACTACTACTACTACTACTACTACTACTACTGCTACCTTTATTCCCTGCCAAGCAGGTAGATAGAAATGTAGCTTCTCCTCCTAGCTACCTGTGCCAATGTCTGGGTGTTACCTACCCATGAACTCATTTTATCAGCAGCCATGTGTCCTAGAGAAATGACTAAATACAGCCATACAGAAGCGAAACAAATTTGAAGAGGAGAACATCCACTATTCCTAAGTATTTTCCAAAAGACTTTGGACTCAGTGTCCTGACTCATCTGCCTCCTCTCCTTTCTTCAGATGTTGCATTCCCCATTTAGGAAAAGCTTGTCTGGATGTTGAATAAATTCAAAAATAAATCATGGGATATTGCTTTTGCACTTGTCACAGGAGAGGAGAAATCAGGGTGCAAAGTTCCTATCTTGCAATAAGCTAGAAGTAGACCTTTAAAAGTTCTTGTGTTGCAGTTTCCATTATTCTTCGTGCTTGCATATGGTGGATACAACTGCTGAGAGTTACAGTATAAGAATATGTGGAAAGTCACATCTATGAGAAGCAACCTGCTTACTTAGATGTGATGTGGCAGTATGCTTAAACATACAGATTCATTCATGATTACCCTGGTTTATCATGAAGTCAGAATATAGTATCTTTCTAAATATGCATGAAGTCAGAATATAGTATCTTTCTAAATATGCATTATTGTTAGGCAGTAACAATGAACCCCACACAAGTCAACCCCCCCCAAAAAAACCCAGTAATACCTACTCAGATGTATTTTCCTTTTGAAAATAAGGAGAAATTCAGTGGAGCTGTAACAGTGTGGAATTTATACAAATGATTTTTAAAACCTTTCCCAGAGTGTAGGAAATGGGACCTAAAATTTCAGAGTAAAAATGCATCAGGTATAGTTCTAGAACTCTACCAAGTGTACATATTATGCAGAATATCTTTAATGATGAGCACCATTGGCATGGTAGTTCTTTATGAGCATGCACACAATAGGGTGCATTTCTAACTAACCATTTTTAAATAAATAACGGGTAATAATAATATTTCTGGGTTTTATACCTATTTGTCTACCAGGCAAAATCCTGGTGCACAACTATGCATGTGCAACTTAAGGTTCTATCTGTGGTAGTTTATCATGCCAGGGAAGATTAATGGATTGCAAAACTGCATGTTGACGAGAATGATGCCTGGTACTTTTATTCAAGTTTTACACAGGCATGTATAGGACTTTGCTCATTATTACCTAATATCACTATCTATTTCATATTAACAGTGTGACAATATTGCATTTATATTTATCTTTTAACCTAGTTCTCTCTCCATTCATTCAGCACTTACGGAGGATCATCACATCCCCATGAAAAATCAAACCATGATCACAGAATTTATTCTTTTGGGACTCTCAAGTGATCCACAAGTACAGCTTCTTCTTTTCTTGGTATTCTTAGTAATATACGGAACAACAGTCATTGGAAACACTGTCATCATTTTCATCGTCAAAACTGAATCGACTCTTCGCACACCCATGTTCTTCTTTCTCAGTCATCTTGCCCTCGTTGACATTTGCTACTCATCCGTCACAGTCCCAAAGATGCTGGAAACCCTCGTAGCCAAGAAGAAATCCATTTCCCTAGTGGGATGCATCACACAGATTTTATTCTTTATCCATTTTGTTTGTACTGATATTTTTCTGCTTTCAGCCATGGCATATGACAGATATGTTGCTATATGTGATCCACTCCATTATTCCATAGTAATGACAAAACCAATGTGCTGGAAACTGGTGGGTGGAGCCTGGATCACTGGTTTCTTTGATGCGATGCTCAACGGGTTGCCTTTAATAGACCTGAAGTTCTTTAGACACAATCTAGTCAGCCATTACACCTGTGAACTTTCTGCACTTTTGAGATTGTCATGCAGTGAAACCTCCATCAATTATAAGCTGATACTTGTCTCTTGTTTTCTCTTTGGTTTCACCTCCTTCTTCCTCACCTTGGTCTCTTACATTTATATTATTCGAACCATCCTCAAGATCCAGTCAACAAAAGGCAGGAGCAAAGCCTTCTCTACCTGCAGCTCTCACCTCATTGTGGTCTGTGTTTTTTATCTTTCTGTTTTCACTAGGTATTTTCAGCCACATTCGGAGTCCTTCACAAACCTCGATAAACTGAGTTCTATTCAGTACGTAATTTTAAATCCTCTGCTCAACCCCATCATATATAGTCTAAACAATAAAGAGTTGAAAATTATTCTGCAGAAATGGTTTGGAAAACATGGGTAAAATTGCAAAGCTGCTTAGGTATATCCAGAGAATACATGCAAGATAGGTAAGCAATCAATGGTGCCCATGAAATGTTTGAGAGATGACTGGGATACGTATTGTGGTGCACTATAAGTAGCCATACATTCGCTGTCATAAAGGTAGACAGTTTGCTTAAAGTGTAATCAGTAGAACTGATTATTAAAAACAGCCCTTTTAATGTCAGAACGCTTCTGATGTAAGTCTAGGTGCATCCTACCTTTCATGGGATTTGAAAAAGCTCACTGTTCTGAAACTGTGTCCATGTGTGTGTTTATACTTTTGTTTGAAGCAAAAAGGCCATTTCTTTTTTTCATATGTTGTTACAAACTTGGGATTGATAGTGTTCTTTTCACTGAACTACACTGAGGAAATGAGGTCTGCTAGGTGTTTCATGGGTTTTCACCTTGAATTTTCAAAATACACTGATATGGCAACTCTGACTCCTTAGATTTGATGAAACTGTGCAATTTTCTAGTTATAGGACTTGATTTCCTTCCCTCAGAGATCTCATTGCAAAGACATTAGGTCTGGATAGATTGCACACTGGTGAAGCACAGCAAGAGACAAAGTTGAGCTCTTCTTCATAATTACATAATGAGGGTAAACCAACCTTGCCGTTGCTTGGGAAAAAGGGGGTGTAAAAATACCTTGGACACACACACACAGAGGGAGAGGTTAAATTGATTTGGGGTTTGCAAGGGTGAGGCAGGATCAGCACACTTTGCTTAAATAAGTAAATAGTTTCCGTGACACATATTTTCAATATTAATTAATGTAATATAATAAATATATTTATGAATTATGATTGCAAGTAACAATAGTAACAACCAAATAAATACTCTGTTTTAAAAGTTGTCCTGCCCTGTTATTTGTCAATGAATCAATTAATCAATGACTCAATCAATCAATTAAGAGAATTCCAGCACTTCTTTGTCTTTTTTAAACTCTAGCATATATGAGTAGAGTCGTTTATTTTTGTTTCAGTTAAGCACCTGACTACCCTATTACAAATTTAAGCAAGTTGTTGTTGTTGTTTAGTCATTAAGTCGTGTCCGGCTCTTCATGACCCCATGGACCAGAGCACGCCAGGCCCTCCTGTCTTCCACTGCCTCCCAGAGTTGGGTCAAATTCATGTTGGTTGCTTCAGTGACACTGTCCAACCATCTCTGTCATCCCCTTCTCCTGTTGCCTTCACACTTCCCCAGCATCAGGGTCTTTTCCAGGGAGTCTTCTCTTCTCGTGAGTTGGCCAAAGTATTGGAGCCTCAGCTTCAGGATCTGCCCTTCCAGTGAACACTCAGGGTTGATTTTCTTCACAATGGATGGGTTCTTGTTCTCTTTGCAGTCCAGGGGACTCTCAAGAGTCTCCTCCAGCACCACAATTCAAAAGCATCAATTCTTCAGCAGTCAGCCTTCTTTATGGTCCAGCTCTCACATCCATACATCACTACTGGAACAACCATAGCTTTGACTATTCGGACCTTTGTCGGCAAGGTGATGTCTCTGCTTTTTAAGATGCTGTCTAGGTTTGTCATTGCTTTCTTCCCAAGAAGCAGGCATTTTTAAAATTCTGCAGTGATCATGGAGCCCAAGAAAGTAAAATCTGTCACTACCTCCATATCTTCCCCTTTTATTTGCCAGGAGGTGATGGAACCAGTGGCCATGATCTTAGTTTTTTTGATGTTGAGCTTCAGACCATTTTTGGCACTCTCCTGTTTCACCCTCATGAAGAGGTTTTTAATTCCTCCTCACTTTCTGCCATCAGAGTGGTATCATCTGCATATCTGAGGCTGTTGATATTTCTTCCAGCAATCTTAATTTCAGTTTGGGATTCCTCCAGTCCTGCCTTTCGCATGATGTATTCTGCATATAAGTTAAATAAGCAGGGAAACAATATACAGCCGTGCTGTGGTCCACACAGTCAAAGACTTTTGCATAGTCAATGAAGCAGAAGTAGATGTTCTTCTGGAACTCTCTGGCTTTCTCCATAGTCCAGCACATGTTAGCAAGCTGCAGGGGGTTGTTGAAAGAAAGCAAAAATAAATAAATGAATAAATAAATCTTTCCTTTAAATAAAACAGGTACAGTAGTTGGAGCATTCTTTGGCACTGCCCTTCTTTGGGATTAGGATGTAGACTGATCTTTTCCAGTCCTCTGGCCACTGCTGAGTTTTCCAAACTTGCTGCCGTATTGAGTGTAGCACCTTAACAGCATCATCTTTTAAGATTTTAAATAGTTCAACTGGAATGCCATCACCTCCACTGGCCTTGTTGTTAGCCAAGCTTTCTAAGGCCCACTTGACTTCACTCTCCAGAAAGTCTGGCTCAAAGTCAGCAGCCACATATCTGGGTTGTCCAGGACATCCAGATCTTTGTGGTATAATTCCTCTGTGTATTTCTGCCACCACGTCTTGAGGTCTTCTGCTTCTATTAGGGCCCTACCATTTTTGTCCTTTAAGCACATTACCTTCAGCTAAATTCAAGCCTTGTGTGTGAGTGTGTGTGGTGGTGGAACAAAATGGAAGTAATTCTTGAATAAAAGAGGCTCACAAGTCTATTCCCAACTTAGAGAGCCTCCCCAGGAGGATATCATGGTCAACGGTATCAAAGGTGGCTGAGATATCAAGAAGAACTAGCAGAGACATTTTGCCCCTGTCGGCCTCCCTCAATATGTCATCAAACAGGGCGACCAATGCCGTTTCCATGCCATGGCACAGCCTGAAGCCTGACTGGAATGGATCCAGGGCATGGTTTCATCCAGGAGAGCCTGCAACTGGTTGGCCACCACCCTCTCAACTACCTTGTAAACACTGTGACAGGTCTATAATTGCCAATATCGTCCGTCACCAAGCTTGGTTTCTTCCTAATGGGTCTAATGAGTGTCACCTCAGCGGGGCAGCAGAGAGATGTAAACTGTTCAGGACGCCAACCTTATTGTCACAGCTTCTCTTGGAGTTGTTGAAGTTATTAATGTCATTGATATTATTACGAGCATCAACAGTAGAAACGGAGCAATCCAAAACCGGACACTGGTGATTGCCCGCCCCCCAGATGATGGTGGCCATGAGAAGAAAAGGTTGCTGGGGATGGTCACAGGAACCACAAGTCAAAAACTGCCTCCCACAATAATAGTAATGAAGGTTGATGGTAAATGACAGTGCGTGTCTGTTAATAATAATAATAATAATAATAATAATGATGATGATGATGATGATGATGATGATGATGATGATGATGATGACGACGACGACGACGACTATGACGACGACTATGACTATGATGACTATGACGACTATGATGACGACGATGACGACAACGACGATGACGATAATAATAACAACAACAACAACAACAACAACAACAACAACAATAATCATAATCATAATCATAATCATAATCATAAAAATTATTATTATTATTATCATTCTGTGGGCAATGAGATATAATAGTAAGAGAGAGGTGAATATTAATTGTTTTGATCACAGTTGAAACCTCTTGGGAACTGAGAGTGTTGAGTAAATTTTCATGGGAGGGCTTTCAAGAAAAAATTAATTTCTATTGGGAATATTATTTGTTTGTTTGAGAAGTGTTGCTTCAGTCATCTCTTCAGGTATTTAAAGGATGATTTCTTAACAGAGCTCAAGGCAGGTTTACTCTACTCTATGAAAAGCTGCTTAACTATGAGAAAGGAGAGAAGTCATTTTACAGGGAGCATTGCAATCAACCTGAAGAATATTGGTGAGTGTGACTCTTATCATGATATGATGTATCAGGAAGGATTGTTCCACCAAGTTAATTTTGAGACCCAATTGCTCAGAGAAAAGGAAACAAAGAAGGTGGAAACTACATCATTTTGTTTAAATCATTGTATTTGTTAAGTCACTTTTCTATATTTATGTGTTCATGAGAATGCTGAATAAATGAAAACTGGATTATCTCACATATTACAGAGGGGAAGAGTAACTGCTGAGCCAGTTGCCTTTTTTCACACTCCAGAAATGTAGAGTTTCATCCAGAGCCAGGAACAGGTTTACAAATTTGTACCCAGTTTTTTACCTGCTTATTTCTACTCTGTTACTGAACAGGATGCATAAATCATATGACTTACCAGTTATTTATGTGCCTGAATTACCCATTTGTAAAAAAGAGATCTGAATCCACTTCCTAGTTTTTCTGTTATTTGGGTGAGAAATAGCTTCTTGCTTTCATTATCCCTACTTTTCTTTCCCTGCTGAACACCTAGGTTAGAACCCCAGCTTCTCTTCCTAGACTATTTGTGTCCATGTGCTACCAATGCATTCATTTTAGCACCGGCCATGTGTCCTAGAAAGGGATGTGGTGGTGCTGCAGGTTAAATCGCAGAAGCCTCTGTGCTGCAGGGTCAGAAGACCAGCAGTCGTAAGATCGAATCCACGCGACGGAGTGAGCTCCCATCGCTTGTCCCAGCTCCTGCCAACCTAGCAGTTCGAAAGCATGTAAATGTGAGTAGATAAATAGGTACCACCTTGGTGGGAAGGTAACGGCATTCTGTGTCTAGTTACACTGGCCACGTGACCACGGAAACTGTCTTCGGACAAATGCTGGCAGTACAGCTTGGAAAGGGGGATGAGCACCATGCCCTAGAGTTGGACACAACATGACTAAATGTCAAGGGGAACCTTTACCTTTACCTATGTGTCCTAGAGACTAAATACATCCATACAAGTGCTTAGGCTACATACTTATGTGGCATATTTTCATAGAAACCAATGTAACATATCACACAGTAGACATGTATAAGTTTGCATTGTAAATATATAATATATATATTTTAGGTGTGTTCTGGAGGCTTTTCTTCCTAACGTTTTGCCAGTCTCTGTGGCTGGCATCTTCAGAGGACAGGAGCTAGGACTCTGTCTGTGTTCTGGTCTACACCAGAGACTGTAGAAATGTTAGGAAGAAAAACCTCCAGAATACAGCCAAATAGCCCCAAAAACCCTACAACAACCATAGAATTTTCCAACATTTCCCAGTGGGTGGGAAATGGGAACGACAATTCCTGTAAGGAAATTTCATCAAGTTAAGTGTAGTTACAGAATTACATCAAGTGTAGATCACATGCAGAATTTCTCATAGACACAGTTGATATCGTTCTTAGTGGGTATGGATATAATACAGTGCATTTATAACTAACAATTTCAAAATAAATCATAGTTAACAATGCTATTTCTAGATTTCGTAACCGACTGGGTTACCGACTGGGGAAAAAATCCTGTCCACAATTATTGATAAGCAACTCAAAATTGTGCCCATGGTAGTTTGTGCTACTGCCGAGGTGCAAGTGGAATTGCAATGCTGGGACACTACACAACTTGTTGCACCAGGTAGTCATGATGAAATGCACAATTGCCTGGAGTAAATCCTTGTTGGTGAGCATAATGCCCAGCACTGGTGTAACTTTATGTTATGTAGGCCTGAATGGGACTTTGCCCACTATTGTCTAATGTCTCTATTTATTTAATATTAATATTGTGACAATATTGCATAAACCTTTATCTCTTTCCATTTGTAGCGATCATAAATATTTCCATTAACTCTCCATGGAAAATCAAACCATTGCCATAGAATTTATTCTCTTGGGACTTTCAAGTGATCCACAAGTACAGATCTTTCTCTTTTTTTTATTCCTAATAATATATGCTACAACATTCATTGGAAACTCTGTCATCATTTTCGTAGTCAAGACTGAGATGAGACTTCACACCCCCATGTTCTTCTTTCTCAGTCATCTCGCCTTCGTTGACATTTGCTATTCCTCCGTCACTGTCCCAAAGATGCTGGAAAATTTTGTAGCCAACAAGAAATCCATTTCTCTGGTGGGTTGCATCACACAGATTTTCTTCTTTATTCAGTTTGTTGTTGTTGAAATGTTTCTGCTTTCAGCAATGGCGTATGACAGATACGTTGCTATATGTGACCCACTCCATTATTCCATCATTATGACAAAGCCAATGTGTTGGAAATTGGTGGGTGGAATCTGGGTCCTTGGTTTCCTTGACGTGATGCTCAATGGATTGCCTTTAATCGGTCTGAATTTCTGTGGACATAATCTAATTAGACACTACACCTGTGAACTCCCTGCAGTTCTGAGCTTGTCTTGTAGTGAAACTTCCCTCAATTACAAGCTGTTACTTGCTTCTTGTTTCCTCTTTGGTTTCATCTCCTTCTTCCTTATCCTTATATCTTATATTTATATTATTTCAGCTATCCTCAAGATTCAGTCAACAAAAAGCAGGAGCAAAACTTTCTGTACTTGTAGCTCTCACCTCATTGTGGTCTGCATCTTTTATCTTTCAGCTTTCTCCGTATATTTGCAGCCGCACTCTAAATCCTTCGCAGACATTGACAAAGTGAGCTCTATTCAGTATTTGATTTTAGGTCCTCTGCTAAACCCCATCATATATAGTCTAAAAAGCAAAGAACTGAAAATTCTTTTGTTGAAAAAGTTTGAAACACGTAAGTAAAGTGGTAAAGCTGCTTAGCTATATCTAGATGAAAGGCACAATCAATGGTGCACATGGGAATCTTTGAGAGATGACAGAGAAATGCATGGTGGTGCACTATGATAGGTGACCATATATTAAGTGGTGTGAAATGGGAACAGTTTACTCAAAGTCATGAGAAACAGATATCCTGTAGAAATATGCATGTGAAAGAGTCCTTTGCTATTTGTGTCTTCCAGAGTGCCTCTGTACTCAAAACATGTACCAGGTTCCCACACCTTCCTCCGATTTTCAAAATCTTTGACAGTTCTGAAGAGTATGGTCATGCTCCAGTTAAGTATTTAAATGTCCATGTTAAACAAACCATAAAAAATGTAAACAAAACAAAAAACAAAAATAGTTATTTACATAATATTTGGAAATTATAAATAAAGGTGTATACTATGCTTATGTATACCATGAATGATGTGACAAGTGTATTCATGGATTACTAAAGGCCAAGAAGGAGGTTTTTTTCTGAAATAAAACTTTGCTGATACTAATACACATTCTGTGAAATGACTCAAAAGAAATCTATGACCAGAATGGTTTTAATTATCCCAGCTAATTAAATAATGTATTTGTTACCAAGGGGAAAATCCTATTGTGTACCTAGGTGGGCACAACTTGACATTGTTCCCACAGTGCTAACGTAGCACTGAGGTGGAAGAACTACCCATTAAGCACTTGTGCCACACAATATGTGACCAATTGTGCAACTGAACTGTGTGACCAATTGTGCAATTATATTGCACAACTCCCTATTGTCAGGTGTAACTCTTGGCGCATTTACAGAGACATAACTTTCTGTTATACCTGCATTAAAAAGGGTTTTCCTCAATGTGCTGGGGTATAAACATGTCTGTTTTTGTTTATAAGTATTGTTTTTCTTAAGCTTTGTTTATGGAGTTCATACATTTTGCTTATACATTTTGTTTATAAATGTTTGTTTGTGAGTTTAGAAAACTGAATCCCTTCACACGAGGATCTCATGGAAAGGGGAATGGAGATTGTCTATATTTCCAGTGTGGCACAGCTTTCTCCATTCCTATTGAGATGTTCAGATGCTGTAGGAGCCTACACACATAGAATTTTATATAACTAGGTTTCCCTATCTCATATGTCCACTCACACTTGATGGGTGAACGCTGAGGAGAATTGGTTCCAAGTCCAGTAACACACTCGGTCAGAGCAAACAGAAAACTTACATGATCTCTCTTCTGCTGCATATTTAGGCAACAGGATACAAGTTGTGGCTTGAAATCCACTCACATTGATGGAGTTCACATAGAGATAGAGGAGGTGTGTTCCTTGATGGGGCAATGTTGGGATCTCTGAAGCATTCGAAGAGATGGCAGCACCATGACCCCTCTGCATCTTCCAGTGTGCGTATCTCCTTAATGTAAGGTCAGACAAAAGCTAGTATCCAGTTGCCAAAATAAGGAGCAAAAGAGAAATCATATAACTGCCTAACGCGCTTGGGCAGCCTTCCATTGCGAAAGAAGGCATGCTGCACATCTGGCAAACCAGTGTGAAAAATGAGAAATGGCAAGGAACAAACTGGAGAACAGGTGGTGATCAATGCAACCGGAGGACAGGTGATAATCAGTGCTTACCAAGTATGCCTTCTATCCCACATTGAGAGAACAGGGAATTTATCATGCCATAATTGTTTGTCACATGAGATTGGTTTATATTAAACCGGAGGACAGGTGATGATCAGTGCTTACCAAGTATGCCTTCTATTCCACATTGAGGGAACAGGGAACTTGCCAACTCCTTATCATTTCGTCATTGTTTGTCACATGAGATTGGTTTATATTTCATGAATTTGAAGGTGCTACTTCATTCATGTTTTGCTTATGAATCTCCTGCTTAGGCCCTCTGGTTGATTCTGGCAAGGTTATAATCCTGAACTAGAGAGAGATTTGTCCTGATCTGGCACATTTTTTCTCTCCATCTCCTGCAAAAAGTAGATTTCACTGTTGCTTATAAATTAGTGAGGCATCTGATATTGAAAGGATGATGTGTTGTCTCCTGGAAGACAGACCAAGCTTTCACTATTATTTGCTTACGTATTATGGCATAGTCATATATTTAAAATGACAGAAAAGCACTAGGCTCTTCTGTTACATCAACATCAAAAATAAAAAATAACATGGTGAAGTCATATTTTAAAAAATGTAAAGAATAGTATCCTGGAGCATAACAACACAGAGTTCTGAGGATAAAGAAACAAGAGGACCACCATTGTGACATCTTGAAATAATTGGCACAAAAGTGGGATGTAAAGTGCACACACACACAAAGGAAATAAAGGAATAAACAAAGGAATAAATGCATAAATATGTATGTGTGGAAGTAAATATTCTGTCAAAATTAATTATTTTTTTCAGCAGACATATCTCAGAAATACATTTAAATTTTATATAGTTATTCCAAAATTTGCCAATCAGTAATTTGAAGAAGTGATCTAACCACAACAGAGAAGTTAAAAAACATTCTCCCCATTTAGTTAACTATTTCTGCACTCAGATGAAAACATGGAAACTATAGCGTGACTAGCATTTCAAATTAAGGAGATGACTCAGAGACAATCTGTTCATTGCTAAGGCAGTTATGAAGTTTGGAACTTTCTCAGGCAAGGCAACGTTGGCATGAATTTTGTCTTTCACAACAAAAATAAAACACAAAATCACACACAGGCACAGCTTTGAAGACCTCAGACCAAATCTGACACAGTTCCTCGAGGCATTACGAATGTTTTCCATTGAAGGGTTTATATACCCTCTAAAGAGAATATTCAAGGCCCCCCCTATCAATTTCTCATTCTGTTAGTGTCAAGGGTGTATATTAGCTCCATTGATATTTAATTTTTATATCAACTCAATGGTAATGGTGCTCAGCAAGCCGGAATTCCATCCCCTCAAACTAGCAAATAGACATATAGCCCTTCTGTTATATGCAGATGACACAGTCCTAATTTCACAGATACCAATAGGATTAAAGAGAGCATTACACGCTTTTGCGCAATACTGTAAAGAGGAAATGCTACAAATAAATTACTCAAAGACCAAAGTTTTAGTGTTCGCTTAGAGGCCCAGGATCTATAAGTGATTAATTGATGAGCATGAGACAGAACAAATTAAGGCTTACAAATATTCGAGTGTCTTCTTTAAATATAAAGGAAATTACAAGGCTCATGTTAACAATGTGGTACAAGCAGCACAAAAATCTAGCTTTGCAATATTAAAATTCTTCTACACAAAATGTGGTCAGTATGTGCCAGCCGCAATAAGATTGGTTCAGGCCAAATCCCTTAGTCAGCTCTTGTATGGGGCACAATTGGGCCCCTATTCTTCATTTATCTAAAAGGGATGTGGTGGCGCTGTGGGCTAAACCGCAGAAGCCTGTGCTGCAGGGTCAGAAGACCAGCAGTCATAAGATTGAACCCATGCGCCGGAGTGAGTGCCTGTCACTTGTCCCAGCTCCCGCCAACCTAGCGGTTTGAAAGCATGCAAATGCAAGTAGATAAATAGGGACCACCTCGGTGGGAAGGTAACAGCGTTCCTTGTCTAAGTGGCACTGGCCATGTGAACACAGAAGATTATCTTCAGACAAAACGCTGGCTCCATGGCTTGGAAACGGGGATGAGCACCGCCCCCTAGAGTCGAACCCGACTGGACAAAAATTGTCAAGGGGAACCTTTACCTTTACCTTTACCTCTTCATTTATCTAGTTAGAAGTAGTTCAATCTAAATTCGTGAGGGCTATCTTACAAGTTCCAAGAGGGGTATCCAATGCAGCCCTTAGGCTTGAAGTGGGCTACCTGAAAGTTAAAGCCAGAGTTTGTCTGGTTATTTTTAACTTTTGGCTGAAACTAACCTTTCAACCAATTGGACTGACTTCACTGATATTACAGGATAACCATCAATCACCTTGGAAGAGAGCAATATATAATAAAATCAACAGATATGGCTATTGAGTAGAATGTATCCAACAAATGGGATGTGATAAGGCCAAGAGTAATCTTAGGCAGTGTATTATTGAGACAGAAAGGCAGCAGGACCTTAGTATCATCATAAATACGCTTATACTTGACAACACACCGCTTCCACCCAAACTGGCTGAACATCTCCAGTTACCCTTAACACCTAAACAACGCAAAACCCTTACTCTAGCCCACTTCAAAGCACTTCCATCAGCAGTCCAGGAAGGGAAGTATAACGACACCCCTTACACTCAGTGTATATGCCCCTGTAACTCTGGTGAGATTGAAACCATCTCCCATGTGTTACTTCATTGTGTCTTTTATTCTGGCATTTTAGAAGTTAATAAAATCAGCAGATATGGCTATTGAGTAGAATGTATCCAACAAATGGAATGTGGTAAGGCCAAGAGTAATCTTAGGCAGTGTATTATTGAGACAGAAAGGCAGCAGGACCTTGGTATCATCATAAATAGGCTTATACTTGACAACACACCACTTCCACCCAAACTGGCTAAACATCTCCACTTACCCTTAACACCTAAACAAGGCAAAGCCCTTACTCTAGCCCACTTCAATGCACTTCCATCAGCAGTCCAGGAAGGGAAGTATAACGACACCCCTTACACTCAGTGTATATGCCCCTGTAACTCTGGTGAGATTGAAACCATCTCCCATTGCAGGATATATCTAATATAATGTATGAATATAGTTATATATATGTAGATAGATGTTTTTAGTGATTTTAGATTGATTTCATGTTTCCTAATTTAAATAATCTTTTACATTGATTTCATGTTTCCTAATTTAAATAATGTTGCTTACTTTTGCTGGTCACTGATCTTAATAAAACATATATTTATTTGTTAGTATCAATGTAAACAGGGAGTGTTAATTATTTTGATCACAACTGAAATCTCTTGAGAACTGAGATTACAGACAATTTCCATGGGAGGGCTTACAAGACATCAGGAGTTTCTAGATGAAATATAATGGGTAGGTGCGAAAATATTTCTTCAATTTGTCTACCTAGGCTATTAAAAGATGATTCTGTAGCAGGTCTCAAGGAAGTTATGCTGCTCTGCTGAAACTTGGTTAATTACAAGGAAATGAGACCACAAAAGTTCTTTAAAGTGAATGTAATGAGGTCAACATGAAGAATATAGGTGAGTGTAGCTCATTTTAAAATAATACAAAATATTGTCTATGTAAATAATGCATGCAAATGTTAAATAAACCCACCTTTATTTATTTTCATGCAAGTTACAGAGCATTACTGATGCACTAGCTGTCTGAATTTTTTGCACCCTTGCTTTACAGAACATCATCCAGAATCAGGAATTGGTTTTATATGTTTCCAAGATTTTTCCATGATTACTTCTAGTGATTCTGAATCATATGAGTTAACCGTTGTCCATGATGTAGTGTCACTCATGTGTAAAACTAGCTATAAACATCTGAACAATTTTTTCTAGTTAATATTCTAGTTTTTATTGGTTATTGTTTATTTGGGTGAGGAGATGGTTGGGCTTCATTATCCCCATTCTTCTCTTTCAAAACAGCTGTGGAATGTAGTTTCCTTTCCTAGGCTACCAGTTTCCAGATTTAGATGATACCCATGCACTCCTTCTACTGCCAACCATGGGTCCTAGCACATAACTAAATACAGCCCATCTGTGATCTCCTTAGGTTACATGGCCATGTGGCACACAATTCACAGAAAGGAATAGAATCTATGAAACAGGAGGCATGTCTAAGACAGCACTGTTACAAAACATAATAAATGAAAATGGAATAAAGAAAATTCGATTCCACATCATTACCACACTAGAGAAGAGTTCTTCAGTTATGCCCTCCTTCTAACTCTATTAATCTCCCACTTGTGGAGGGAAATGGGTGTGAAGAGGAGAGCCCCCCGCCCCCCAGCATCCTTGGTCATTCTCCAAACATATTGTCTTTTTCAACTTTGAAGTATGGAGACCCAGACATCTGAGCATTCAGCCTGGAGACAGGCGTTGCATCACAGCCTCTCCCATTTTGAAGAGACCCTTGTCCAGCAGGCCGAGGCAAAGAGTAAGTCACAAAAGCAGCAAAATCAGGGAGCTGGACAGGGGACAGATTGGATTTGTCTTCAGTGTGGAAGGGGGTGTCACTCTCGAATTGGCCTCCTCAGCCACACTAGACTCTGTTCAAATACCTCTATTCAGAGCATGTTACCATAGTCTTTCGAGACTGAAGGATGCCTAACTAAGTATGGAGAAGATATTTCAATTATACAAACACATCATGATTATTGCAGTTACATGATTGCATCAATTGTACCCCACATGCAGAATATTGCAAATTGGTATATCACTTACAGGTCAGACAGAATCTAGAGACTGTTCATTTCTGCTGCTGGCATGCTCCATCGTTGATATTTACAATTTTATCAATGATCTTGCACTTACAGCAGGTCAGTCAGAATCTAGAGCCTTTGTTTGTTTCAGCTGCTGGCATGCTCCATCCTTGATATTTACAATTTTATCAATGATCTTGCAGGATAGACAAATCAAGGTCTTTACTAAGACAAGAGCATACTCACTTTCATGGTGCTGAGTATTTGTTTCCCTTTTCCAACTTCAAATTGTGCTGCATGTATTTGGGCTTTAATGGAAATGAGCTCAGATTCTGCCCCTGCACCCTGCTGGAGATTGAGAGTGGTGTGTTTTACCATGTGATGTCCCCAGAAATACTAATGTACTCAATACAGTAGCTTTCACAGTGGCCGCTATGTTACTCTGTGCAAGCATGCCAACAAGAAACACACTACAAAACAAAAGTTAAAAAAAGATGTTGTGGCATTTTAAAGACTAATTGCTAGTCTGTGCAAGCATGCCAACATGAAACACACAACAAAACAAAAGTTAAAAAAAAAAAGATGTTGTGGCACTTTAGAGACTAATTGCTATATTTGAACATAAGATTTCATGGAACATGGTCCACCTCTTCACACATATCAGTTAGAAACTGCTACATGGCAAAACATTCATGTAAGGCTTTAAAGCATAGTGGTATTAGGTTTCATTTTATGCCCAGTAATGATTTAGGGCCCTTGTTTGAAATTCAGTTCATTTGAAGAATGGTTCTGTAAAACAGCAACCTGCTTATATGAAACAATACAGTAACAACATGTGGTAATGTAGAGAATGGCAGGCCTTACCATTTTGCCTTGTTCTGAAAAGACGGCTCTTGTCATTGTGAAGGCAAATGACAATATGTAACAACATACTAATTACATATTTGTGAAGGCTTTCACGGCCAGGATTTGTAGAGAACAGCAGGCCTTACCATTGAGCTTTGTTCTGAAAAGATGGCTATGGTCATTGTGAAGGCAAAGAGTACCAAGTGTAATTATACTAATTACACTTGATAATGTCTGAATAAAGTTGACTGACATTTAATTAATTGATATGATTGACTGGCATGTGTATAAATGCAGTTTCGCTCTTGATTCTTGTGTAGTTTTTCTTGTCAGAACAGCAACTTGCATATCTTCTGAAGAGCATTCTGATAGACTTGAGACAGTAATCTATTGAGATTTCTGATATTTGATATACTGTATGTCCCTTAATTTTTTAGTGTAGATCATGTACTGACATCTTTTTCAGTCAATATGCACTGAATAGTCTTCATTTTCACTAAATATATATTTCTAACTAAATAACTGATAAAATTTTACATTTTTACTTAAAAGTTTCATTGTGCTACATTAAATTTCATATGTTAACATACATCACTTCTTTTTACAGATCTTCATTATCTTCTCATGGAAAATCGAACCACGCTGACAGAATTTATTTTTTTGGGACTTTCGAATAATCCACAATTACAGATTCTTCTCATTCTTATATTCTTAACAATATATGCCACAACAATTTTTGGAAACTCTCTGATCATTTTTGTAGTCAAGACTGAATTGACTCTTCACACCCCCATGTTTTTCTTTCTTAGTCACCTTGCCCTCATTGACATTTGCTACTCTTCCACCATTGTCCCAAAGATGCTGGAAACATTTGTGGCCAAAAAGAAATCCATTTCCCTGGTGGGATGCATCACACAGATTTTCTTCTTTTCCCATTTATCTTGTACTGATATTTTTCTGCTTTCAGCAATGGCATATGACAGATACGTTGCTATCTGTGATCCGCTCCATTATTCAGTCATTATAACAAAGACAGTGTGCTGGCAATCCACTCCATTATCCGGTCATTATAACAAAGACAGTGTGCTGGCAACTGGTGGGTGGATCCTGGCTAATGGGCTTCCTGGAAGCAATGCTCAATGGATTGCCTTTAGTAGGTTTGAACTTCTGTGGACACAATGTGATCATCCACTACACCTGTGAACTTCCTGCAGTTCTGAGTTTGTCATGTAGTGACACTTCCATCAATTATAAGCTGATACTTGCCTCTTGTTTTCTCTTTGGTTTTACCTCCTTCTTCTTAATACTGGTTTCTTATATTTATATTATTTCCTCCATCCTCAAGATTCAGTCCACAAAAGGCAGGATCAAAGCCTTTTCCACCTGTAGTTCTCACCTTATTGTTGTTTGCTTATTTTATCTTTCGGCTTTTTCTAGATACTTGCAGCCACATTCTAAATCTTTCACAGACCTTGACAAAGTCAGCTCTGTCCAGTACTTAATTTTAACTCCTATGTTAAACCCAATCATATATAGTTTGAAAAACAGAGAATTGAAAGTTATTCTGTGGAAAAGGTTTGGAATGTATAAGTAATGCTGCAAAGCTACTTAATTATAACCAAATATATGATTCAAAATATGTAAGCAGTATGGGGTGTGTCATGACAATAGCTGAGAAATGCATTTTGATATATTCTTATAGAGAAAAATGAGTATATTAAAAGGTGGCAATTTATCTAAGAGCCTCGTGGCTCAGTGGTTAACTGCAGTGGCTGTACTGCAGCCAAAACTGTGCTCACGACCTGGGGTTCAATCCCAGGTAGCCGGCTCAAGGTTGACTCAGCCTTCTGTCCTTCCAAGGTCGGTAAAATGAGTACCCAGCTTGCTCTGGGGGCAATGTGTAGCCTGCATAATTAACTTGTAAACTGCCCAGAGACTGCTTGAAGCGCTATGGTGCGGTATATTGATAGTGGAGGAAACCAATAGTGAAAAATGTACACCTGGGTTCTGGTTAGGAGAAGAGAGGAGTCCTTCCTGTTGAGTGCTCCCAGGTGCTGAATATTCTGCTCTTCTTCCAAAAGCAAGCAAAGCCATTGTATTCATTTTGTTTCCATTGTTCCCTTTAGCAACCAGACTTGTTCTCTTGTTTTTGAATCCTTTTTATTTGCTTTGAATGTTTTCAACTACAAATTGTGCATTTGTAGTTAAAAACATTCCAATAGGTGTTTTAGTATTGTAATTTAAAATACTCTTTTAAAAAGGGAGACATTAACTGATAAATAAATAAATAAATTTGGTGGGTTGGCTGTAGGGTTATTAATTGGTAGGACCAGTAGAGGTTAAAAAATAAAATATCAATATTAATAAATAAATATAAATATAATACGATAAAATAAATAAAGGGTGGGACTGGCATAAGGCAGTTGAACTTGGAGGTGAAAGAGGCCTAGTATCTTAATAAGTAAAATTTATAAATAATTTGTAAATAATACATTATAAATAATTTATAAATCATAAACTGCTAAATAAATATGCTCATAGAGGTAGATGCTGGGCATTTTAAGGGTTGTGGATTTGGCGTGCCTGGCATTCTCCATGGGATCACGAAGAGTCGGACATGACTTAACGACTAAACAACAACAACAAAAAAGATTTGGTCTTAATTTGAAACTGGGTACCTGGTTTGGGGATCCAAAAATATCAAGGCAATAAAAAAGGGGAAAACAGCCTGGAAAATGCAGGGCACCTGTATGCACACTTCAAGCAGATTCTTCCTCTGAAGGTGAGGAATGGCTTGATTATAGGGCCATCTTGACTAAACAGAGTGCTCTTGAATGGGATGGGGTGCTTGCTAGAGAGGCAGCTTGTGCAGTCACACCCAGTAGGTCTAGCAGGGACTCTAAGGCTCAAAGGATGACAGAGTTAAGACATTAATGTTATCATGCATTGCTATTTTAGAGAGTTACTGCTTAGGTTTTCTGGAGTGTCTTCTGCAGTGGCTTCATCTGTTGTTGAAGAGTGCCACACCTTCAGCTTCACTGATGAGCCCTGAGCAACCTCCTCAGAGGGCAGCCAGTAAACAGAACAAGGTGGCAACCATAGGGGAGCCCCAGAAGTGATGGAGTCAAGGCAGGTGGCAATTGCAGGTATAGTAGTGGAGGGCATTCCTCAGGGTCAGAGGGAGCCAGGGGTGTTGCTATGGTGGTGGCTAGTTCCACTCCAGGTGAATCAGCACACACACCAGGGGCAACACAGGAGGGGATGTGACCCTGGGGGACTGTGAGTCCACCTGCACCTAATCAGACATCAAATTCTCAATGACCAGCTGATTTTGTGAGAAGCACATCAATGGGGAAAACACCTGGACTGGCTGCAAAGCCTTGAATGGCACCTTACTGGTCTTTGCCTAGCCATTCCCTGGGATTTATGGATGGGATCAGACACCAGTCACTACCTCCCATCCATGATACAGAGTGCAACTCTGTTTTGTGTAAGGTCATCCCTTGTGGGATAGGTCCCTGCACTTGGGGACCACCTACTATTGGCTACAGTGGATAAAATTTGAGGGCGAAAATATGTAGATGTTTTTTAGCTTTAAAATAGTGAATTAGAGGAGAAGGAAGAGAACAAAGAGAGAGATAGAGAGAAGGGGAAGTTTAGGAAGAAGCAGCCTAATAGAACCTTAGCAAATTGACATCTTGGCTATTTCATCCATGCAGGAACTATAGTAAAGGCACAACCTTTGCATGTCTTTTTGTTGATTCAGTACATGGATCTGATACACAGGGCATACATAGATTTCCCTGGGCATTTGTGGCTTATCTACAATGAGGGGTTCCATAAGAGAGCATGTTGAGACTTGGGATGTGAGAGACAGCTCCGAAAAAAAGTCAGTCTTCAACCCTGACAGCAAAGAGACTCATGGAGACAGTAGGTTCCTTCACCAGCAGTCTATTTACAGACTATGTACAATAGAACTATGCACATTAGTTAACAGAAACATTAATACACTTTCAGCAAATGAACAGACAGCACTTCATGCAGCAACTCTCCAACACAACACAACACACATCACCATAGAGTGTAGCACCTATATAGTTTGAGCAATCAATTACTGGACGCATCACCTGATGACTTCTATCAGACATTATCTCATGTCCAATACACATTTCATGTGTCACCCCATGGATTGCATCAGCTCTGTGGCTGGACACCTGTTTTGAGATGGATGCCTGTTAGGAAACATTGGTTCATGATATTGTTATTTAGTCGTTTAGTCATGTCCGTCTTTTCGTGACCCCATGGACCAGAGCACACCAGCCCCCCCCCGTTCGCCACTGCCTCCCAGAGTTGCCAAATTCATGTTAGTAGCATTGATGACACTGTACAACCATCTCATCCTCTGTCGTCCCCTTCTCCTCCTGCCTTCACACTTTCCCAACATCAGGGTCTTTTCCAGGGAGTCTTCTCTTCTCATGAGATAGCCATAAGATGGGAGCCTTAGCTTCAGGATTTGTCCTTCCAGTAAGCACTTGGGGTTGATTTCCTTTAAAATGGATAGGTTTGTTCCCTTGCAGGATAAATTCCATATTGTGGGTCATAATAGCCTAACAGAGTGCCAATTCATCCCAACATGAATTGGGATGAGCATCACCCCAGGTTATGGTCGCAGTTGATGTCCCAATTTGGGAAACTGTTTTGACAATGATCACTTGATCCAGAGGGCTGCTACATCCAACATTCCATGCACACTGGCAGGCCAGGTGGTTTATCCCCACTTGATTTGCTGGGAATTTAATGCAAGAGGGTCTTGAAACTGCAAACGATCCAAATCTAAAAACCAGTGCTCCATTTGTAGAGCACCACACAGGGCAAATAGGGATTCAGGGGGAGCGAAGAAGGCACTTCCTGGTCCAGCTAATGCTGGAAAAGGGCCCCAGTCCAATTAAGATAGCAATACTGGAGGAGTGGCATAGGATTTATCCAGACATGGAAACAGCAAGATATTTGCTGGATGGATTAAAGTTTTGTTTTAGGATCCCTGTGTTGGGGGAAAGAGTTGCAACCACATCCAGAAAATTAAAATTGGTCAAGGGGATGGAGGATGTGGTATGGACAAAGATCAACAAGGAAGTTTTGGAAGTAAGGATGGTTGGTCTATTGATGGAGCCACTGGTGCCAAATTTGAGGGTCTCACCACTAGGAGTGCTTCCCAAGAAAGCATCCAGTGAATAATTTGTCTATGTTTTATTACTTGATTTTATTTTCCCAAGAAAGCATCCAGTGAATAATGTCTGATTCACCATCTATCTTACCCAGCTGGGGACTCAGTTAACAACAGGATCCCTCAGGAAGTATTCTCAGTGCAGTACACGTCGTTTGCTGAAGCTGTCTGCGTAGTTTGTGCCTATGGGTTTTGATCTGACAAAATGTGACATTAAATTGGCATTTTGCTTGCTACCAGTGCACCCCATGGATTTTGAGTTACTGAGTTTTGTTTTTGATGACATCTATTACATGGACACAGCCTTGCCTATGGGGTGCTCCATCCTTGTGCAGCATTTGAGCATTTCAATTCCATTTTGGAATGGACATTCAAGCGTACAGTTGGAATTCCCCATGTGGTGCACTATTTAGATGACTATCTTTTTTGTGGGAGACCGAATCTTCTGTTAATTCATCATCAACCACAAAAGACATTGTAAATCCATCTGTTTAAACATGTGAAGAATGGCATCATGGAATATGATAATATTTGAAACAGTGGAATTAGTCATGGACTATTGTATGCACTTTTCTGAAAATAAGCATTGTGTCAATATTTGAAACAGTGGACTATGCACTTTTCTGAAAATAAGCATTGTGTAGTAATTGGACCTGAATTAAGGACACCTGGGTTCAAATCCTTTTCTGACCATGAAACTCTCTGGATGATCTTGGTCTTATACAGCCTCCTGTTCTCACAGGGTTGTTCTCTGGATAAAGAAAGAAGAAAGGCATCATTGACATCTTGAAATCATTACAGCTACTGTGTCATATAAAAAGAACAAATAAATAAAGGAATAATTATGTAAACGTTAATGAATGCAAGGAAATATTTAATGTAAAAATTAATTCTTTTAACTCCATAGCCTAATTTAAGTATCACAAGTTTGCCCATGATCTGACCACAGTAAAATAAAAAGAGGTTCTCCCTACTCTGTTCACCATCTCTGGATTAAGATGAAAATGGAAATTTTAGTGCAATTAGCATCTGAAATTAAGATGATGACTCAGGAATTAAGATGATGACTTTTGTTGCTATGGCAGTTATGAAGTGTGAAGTTTCCCAAGACAAGGCAACCATGGCATGAATATTTTATCTGAGAACCAAAAATATAACCATACACTTATGAACATACAGTCTTGAAGATCTCAGACCAAATGTAACTGAACACCTGCAGGCAGTGAGAATGTTTTCCACTGAAGTGTTTATACACCAATATAGATAGATAGCCCAGAGAAAGGGAGGGGAGGCAAGCCAATTTGACAACACCACTTCCTGGTTATCAAACCGGTTTTATATCAAGTGAGACACCAAGTTCCCTCGGTGAA